CTTCCTTTTTGGTTTTCTAACTCCAAGTCTTTGCACATTTCATTATAGTAATTGCCTTTGTCTGCTCAAGCTGCTTTTTGGAATCTTCTGTTCAGCTTTTTTATCTTGTCAGTTCTTCCATTTGCTTTGGCTACTCTCCACTCAAGAACAAGCTTCAGAGTCTCTTCTGTCATCCATTTTGGTAATTTCTTTTTTTCTTATCTTGTTAATGACCTCTTGCTTTCTTCATGGATGATGTTCTTGATGTCAACCCATAATTCCTCTGGTTTTCGGTCACTGGTGCTCAATGCATCGAATCTATTCTTTAGATGGTCTCTAAATTCAGGAGGGATATATTCAAGGTCATATTTTGGCTCCTGTGGACTTGTTTTAATTGTCTTCAACTTCAAGTTGAACTTGCATTTAGCATCTCTTATGAGATTGGTCTGGTTTTAACAAATTCCTTAATTTCTGCTTATCTGGAAATGTCCTAATTTCACCATCATATTTGAGGGACAATTTTGCTGGGTATGTAATTCTTGGTTGGAATATTTTTTGTTTCAGGGTTTTATATATACATACCATCCTACTGTCTTCTCACCTGCATGGTTTCTGCTAAGAATTCTGAGCTTAGTCTTACTGGATGCCTCTTGTAGGTAACTTTTCATTTTTCCCATGCTGATTTCAGGAGTTTTTCTTTGTCTATGGTTTTGGTGAGTTTAATGATGATATATCTTTGTGATTTTCTTTTGAGGTCTATCCTGTTTGGGGTTCGTTGGACTTCTTGAATGGATATATTCTCATCTTTCATCATACCAGAAAAATTCTCTTCCAACAAATCTTTGACAGTATTCTCTGTGGTTTTATCTGTCTTCTTCCTGTTCTGGAATTCTGATTACATGCAGGTTATTCCTATTGATGGTATCCCACATGAACCTTAGGGTTTCTTAATTTTATTTTGATCTTTTTTCTAACTGACCCCTTTCCAAAGAAGTATTGAGGTATCTGTCTTCCATCTCACTAATTCTGTCTTCCACTGATTCAATTCTACTTCTTTGCCCTTTCAATGTGCTATCTACTTCTGAAAATTTAGTATTAATCTTCTGGATTTCTATCTGTAGATTTTCATTTCTAATTTTTCACTTATTTTCTCATTTTGTTCTGTATTGTCTTGCAAAATTGTTCTAGAGTTTTCTGTATTTTCCTCACTCTGTCTCTCTATCCATGGAAGGTACCTAAATATAATCCTATTGAATTCCTTATCAGGGAGTTCCAATGCTGCTTCCTCCTCAGGGATGTGTTCTGGGTCTGTATCCTCGTCCCTTGTTTCTCCTGCTTTATCTTGCTTCTTTAGGTAGAGTGTGATGCTCTGTTGTCTCTGAGACATTGTGACATTTTTGTGTCTATATTTAATTGGTGATTGTATGTTGGAGTGCTTTGCCCAAGATTTTCGTTTTCTTTGGATGTTATCTAAGTAAGCAGGGTACTGTGCTCCTCTATTCACTAGTTGGTAGCACTTATACACTCACCACCTGTCTCCTTTCCCGTTGTCAACCTCCCATATGTCCTTGCTGTCCTTGGGAAGCAGAGACTATTCTTAGGTCCTGTTTTCATTCAAGTTCTCCCACAAGGTGGTGCCTAATCCACTTCTGTATACTTCCTTTCAAAGCTTAGGGCTCCAGGATTATCTTCTGTATCTCTGTCAATTGGTTTCTCTTTTCTTCCTTGAAGAGGGTCTGTGTAGCTTGCCTGCCTATTCTGTCATCTTACTGGAAGTCTGAATAATAGTAGTATTAACTGATCTTCCTTGTAGGCATATGGATATTATCCTATCACTGACAGCATTGTACTTCAGGATAGATATTGAAACATTCTTTGTGATGGTGAATGCCACGCCATTCCTCTTCAACTTGTCATTCCTGGCATAGTAGATCACATGGTTGTCTGATTCAAAATGGCCAAAACCAGTCCATTTCAGCTCACTAATGCTTAGGATATCGATCTTTATGCATTCCATTTCATTTCTGACAACTTCCAATTTTCCTAGATTCATACTTCATACATTCCATGTTCTAATTATTAATGGATGCTTGCAGCTGTTTCTTCTCATTTTGTGACATGCCACATCAGCAAATGGAGGTCCTAAAAGCTTTACTCTATCCTCATCATTATGGTCAGTTCTACTCTTAGGAGGCAGTTCTTCGCCAGTCGTATTTCGAGTGCCTTCCGACCTGAGGGGCTCATCTTTTGGCACTATATCGGACAATGTTTCAGGGCTATTCATACAGTTTTCCAGTAATATATCAGACAGTGTTTCACTGCTATTTGTAACATTTTAACTGGCCAATTCTTTGAGAGGTGGATTGCCTCTTCCTTCTTCTGAGTCTGTCTTAGTCTGGAAGCTCTGCTGAAACCCATCCACCATGGGCAACCCTGCTGGCACTTCAAACACTAGTGGCATAGACTCCAGCCTCACAGCAACACGCAAGGTATCACAGTACAACAAACTGACAGATAAGTACCTCTAAGCTACACCAAAGGTAAATTGGATGCCTAATACTTGGACATTCAAATCATTCTGTCAAATTCCAGATGAAGAGGAATGGGTGGAAAATTCTTAAATGTTTCTAATGTTGACTGAGGTGAACAGAGACATAAGGTGTGAGATGCTGAAAGTGGAACTGCTGAATTCCCATTTTACTTCTGTTTTGTCTGAGGGAGAATGGGCATCAGATTGGAAATAGGATGATCTGAAAGCCAAGACAGGCTCAGCAAGAGACACAAGGGCACTTAGCTATGGGAAATGAGCTCAAATCTCCTTGTCCAGACAGATTACATCACAGAATGCAAAGAAAACACACAAATAACATCTTGGAGCCACTGCTGCTGATACCTAAGGCACTGAGTAAATAGGAAAGTTGATGAAATAGTAAAGACAGGCAAACATTGTTCTAATTTTCAAAAAAATACAAAGGTGATTGCCAAAAACTACAGACTGGTGATCATGTCTATTCAAGTCAAAATTGTAGAACATGTTATCAAATGGCTGCTTTGTGAGCTCTAAGAAGGAAAGGAAACAATTATGGAGTTATCAAGAGTTCATAAAAACAAACCAGCCATCTTAATGTATTTCCTTCTTTGAAAGGATTACCAGACTGGCAGATAACAATTATTGAAGGCCTACAATGACTAGGTACATTACCTTGAATCCTGACAACTACCTTGCAAAGCAGATAGTATTCTTCTCATTTTACAGAAGAAAAAACAAGTTCAGAGAAGTATAACTAATTTGGCACAGTCATATAGCCAGGAGTCAGGATTCTACCTCAGGTCTTCCTTATTCTACAACACGTGCTCCATCCATTCCTCCTCATCTTGAACTTCTGTGAGTCCTATGACCAAGTCATATGTATCAACCATGGACAAGGGAGAGAAACATGGTCTAAAAGGTAGATCTGTAACTGGCTAAACAAGAACTTACTTATGTCAGCTGAGAAGGAAGCCTCTATTGACATTCTCTAGGACTCTGTCCTAGTCAATCATTTTAGCAGTGAAACTTAATGGTATAGAGGCAGTATAGTGTAATGGTTGGTTATATGTGAACTCAAGAGCCTCAAGATTGCGTGCCTTTAAGTCCTAGCTCTGCTACTTTCTAATATTATTACTTTGTGCAATGATTTAACACACCTGTACCCCAGTTTTCTTACCTGTAAGGTGGAGACAACAGAAACTACCTTAAATGGCTGTTGGGAGGATTAAATTAGTTAATACTGTAAAGCACTTAAAATAGTGTCTAGAACATCAGATACTTCAGGACTGTAACAGGAAATTCAGAGATGAAAATAACAAACAAGGAAAAAAAAATCAGAGGAAACAAACAGCACAGAGAGCAGAAGACCACTATACACAAGTGTGTACATATACACACCCCATAAAGAAACCACAGCATTCATCAAACAAGAATAGGAGGTATAATGGAAATATTCAGAGAGCAAAAAAGAGCTCTGATTTGATAAAACTGAAAAATTCCATAGAAGAGTTAAAGATAAAACTGAGGAAATCTCCCAGAAGGAAATAAATCAAGAGGTGGAAATAGAAAAGATAATTAAAGGAGGTCTAACATCCAAATAAAAGAAGTTCTAGAGAGTGAAGTTAGGTAAAAAAAAGAGAGAAAAATGAAAAGAAGTAATACTAGAACATTTTCCACAACCAGAACACACAAATCTCCTGACCAAAGGAGCCTCTGGGATGTAGAAATCAAGAGTGGGAAAGGAAACTGCTATTTTTCAAAGTCTGGTAGATCTGACTATTTATACTACACATTTAATATAAATAAAAAACCAAATAAAACAAACAAACAAAGTATTAAGCTTTAAAGAGACAACAAGACCTAGACAAGAGGGAACTACCAGGAGGATTAAAGGTCTAGAAATTGTTATTTAACACGAACAGTTAAAAGATCAATAATGTTTAGCCTGGAAAAAAAATAAGACTTCAAGGAGCTTCAGATTTACCTCACAAGGACTAAAGTTATAGGCAGGGAAGTCTTGGCTCACTATGAGAAATAATTTTCTAACAAGTAGTGTTTTCAAAATAGGGAATAAACCTACCTTGTGAAACTATGAGTTTATGATCCCTGAGGTGTTCAAGCAAATGCTGGCTAACTAATGAAAAGGAGTCATTCTATGTTATTCAAACACAAACCAAACCCACTGCCATCGAGTTGATTCCAACTCACAGTAACTCTATAGGACAGAGTAGAACTGCCCCACAGGGTTTCCAAGATTGTAAATCTTTATGGATGCAGACTGCCTCATCTTTCTCTCGTGGAGCAGCTGGTAGGTTCACACTGCTGAATGCATTAGCCACTGCACTACCAGAGCTCCTTTTATGCTATTAGAACAAAACAACTATAAATGTGACGTTTTATACAATATAGCCACAGGGTAAGAATACAATCTTACGTTGTTTTCAAAAGTAAGTAGTTGAAATATGTGCTATGTCTAAAATACTTTTTGTACCGTCACAGTCTGTACTGCTTTCTTGATTAGGCTGCTGCTGCACAGTCATTTTCTCAGGATTTGACGAAAGGTCCATAGATGTGCTAAGAACATCCTTCTTTCTGTCAGAGGTGTCAAGGTCTTTTACCATACTACAAATAAAAAAATGTAAAGCCAATCATAACATGGGCTAGACCAAATAAATGTAATTTCCACCCCACCCCACTCCCAACATTTTCTCACAACTGGTCAGACAATATAAAACAGAAAAGAGAGATGTTTTTATAACTCTATTCCAAAACTTCTTTACCTGGCCGTCAGAATCTCCCATCTTCTGGTCCCAAAAGACCATTTCAATTTTATCTCCAATCACGCCCTTTCAGTAACCCTAGGTTCCAAACAAACAGTATGGCTTACATTCTTTATATAAACCCTGCACTGTCTATTTTAGGGATTTTGTCTCTGCCTGTCATGCCAATCTCTTCTTACCCAAATAACACCTGTTCTTCTAGGCCCAGCCCAAATATTACTTCTCTTGTTCCTCTAATAGGTGGTTATTAACATCTCTCTTCTGGCATCCCAAAGAACTTTATATGGACTTCCCTTATTATGCCAACGTGTATATATAAGTGTATGTGTATATATAATTAAGGAGCTCTGGTGGTGTACCCCCTAAGGCACTTGACTGCTAACCAGAAGGTTGGCAGTTTAAACCCACCAGCCACTCTGTGGAAGAAGACTGGGCAATCTACTTCCATAAAGATTTACCACCTCAGAAACCCAAAGGGGGTTGCTTTGAGTCAGAATCAACTCGATGGCAGTGAATTTGAGTTTTTTGGTATATGTAATTAACTCATATATATTGTTCACAAATACATTGTTGTTGTTGTTGTTATGTGCCCTCGAGCGGGACCCGACCCATAGTGACCCCTCCTTGGGTTTCCGAGGCAGTATCACTATGGAAGTAGATTGCCCAACCTTCCTTCCAAGGAGTGGCTGGTGGGTTTGAACCGCCAGCCTTCTGGTTAGCAGTCAGGTGCCTTAGGCACTATGCTACCAGAGCTCCCCACAAATATATTAATACATATAAATACGGTCAGTCTGATTAGATATGAAAATACTTAAAAAGTAACAAAATAAATTAGTACTAAACCGAGTGTAAAACAGAGGGCAGGTGTTGTGGAAATCTAAAGAAAAGTTAACACTTTCTACTGCTTTAGAAAGCTTCACCAAGGGGGTAGGATTTGAGCAAAACCCTTGAATAATGAATATGATAAAGTGACAGACTATGAAAGAGAAAGAAGAAAATTCTATTTGCTTGATATCCAGGAATCAACCATAATCAAGCATATATATATATTTAAATTGTGATTTGGGTGAAGATTGACAGAGCAAATTCACTTTCCATATAGCAGTTCATATATACTTTGTCTCATGTCATTGACCACAGTTTACCACAATGCAACAGCTCCCCTCCCACTTCCTCCCCCTAGTTATCTCTTCCCAGTGTCCATCCCTCCATACATTCCTGCCCCGAGCTGTCTCTCTGTGCATAAGCAGCCCTTCTTTCTCCCATGATTGTTCTCTCCAAGGAGTGTATCTACTTGAGGTAAATGTTTAACTCATATCAAGCATAATTTTTGAATGCAATATTCTAACTAAATCAAAACAGTGATGAATAAGTATGTTTTGTATCATTTAAAAAATGATAACACATATATCTGAAGTTGTTATTGGTGTTGTTAGGTGTCGTTGAGTTGTCTCCGACTCATAGGGACCTCATGTACAGCAGAAAGAAACACTGCCTGGTCCTGTGTCAACCCCACGATCTTTGCTATACTTGAGGCCATCATTGCAGCCAGTGTGTCAATCCATCTCGTTGAGGGCCTTCCCCTTTTTTGTTGTCCCTCCACTTTGCCAAGCATGATATCCTTCTTCAGGGAATGGTCCCTTCTTACAACATGACCAAAGTAGATGAGATGAAGTCTGGCCATTCTTGCTTCCAAGGAGCATTCCAGCTGCACTTCTTCCAGGAGAGATTTGTTAGTTCTTTTAGCAGTTCTTTTAGTACTTTCAGCATTCTTTGCCAACAACACAACTCAAAAGCATTGACTCTTCTTCGGTCTTCCTTATTCATTGGTCCAGCTCTCACATGCATATGAGGCGATTGAAAATACCTTGGCTGTGTCAAGAGCACCTTAATTTTCAAGGAAACATCTTTGCTCTTCAGCACTTGAAAGAGGCCCTTTGCAGCATATTTGCCGGAAGCTATACGACGTCTGATATCTTGACTGCTGCTTCCATTGGTGTTGATTATAGAACCAAGTAATACGAAGTCTTTGACAACTTCAATCTTTCTCCATTTATCATGATGCTGCTTATTGGTCCCATTGTCAGGACTTTTGTTTTCTTTATATTGAGGTGTAATCTATACTGCAGACTGTACTCATCAATCTTCATCAGTAAGTGTTTCAAGTCATCCTCACTTTCAGCGAGCAAAGTTGTGCTGTCTGCATAATGCAGGTTATTAATGAGTCTTCCTCCAATCCTGATGCCTCATTCCTCTTCATATAGTCCAGCTTCTCGCGTTATTTGCTCAGCATACAGATTGAATAAGTATGGTGAAATAACACAACCCTGACACACTCCCTTCTTGATTTTAAACCATGTAGTGTCCCCTTGTTCTGTTCAAATAACAACCTCCTGGTCTATGTACAAGTTCCTCATGAGCACAATGAAGTGTTCTGGAATTCCCATTCTTCTCAATGTTATCCACAATTTGTTATGATCCACACAATCAAATGCTTTTGCATAGTCAGTAAAACACAAGTAAACATTTTTCTGGTATTCTTTGCTTTGACCCAAGATCCATCTGACATCAGCAATGATATCCCTCGCTCCACATCCTCTTGTGAATCCAGCTTGCATTTCTGGAAGTTCTCTGTCAATATACTGCTGTAACCGTTTTTAAATTAGCTTCAGTAAGATTTTACTTGTGTGCGATATTAATGATATTGTTCGATAATTTTCACATTCTTTGGAATGGGTACAAATATGGATCTTTTCCAGTAAGTTGTGCAGGAAGGTGTTTTCCAACTCTCTTGCCATAGCTGAGTGAGTGCCTCTAGTATGGCATCTGTTTGTTGAAACATCTCAGTGGGTATCCCATCAATTCTTGGAGCCTTATTTCTCGCCATTTCCCTCAGTACAGCTTCGACTCATTCCTTCAGTACCACCGGTTCTTGATCATATGCCACCTCCTGAAATGGATGAACATCAACCAATTCTCTTTGGTATAGTGACTCTATGTATTCCTTCCATCTTCTTTTGATGTTTCCTGCATTATTCAATATATTGCTCATAGAATCTGTCAATATTGCAACTCGAGGCTTAAATTTCCTCTTCAGTTCTTTCAGCTTAAGAAATGCCAAGCGTGTTCTTCCCTTTTGGCTTTCCAACTCTATGTCTTTGCACATTTCATTATAATAATTAACTTTGTCTTCTCGAGCTACTCTTTAAAATCTTCTGTTTAGCTCTTTTATCTTGTCATTTCTTCCATTTGCTTTAGCTACTCTCCATTCAAGGGCAAGTTTCAGAATCTTTTCTGACATCCATTTTGGTCTTTTCTTTCTTTCCTGTCTTTTTAATGACCTTTTGGTTTCTTCACGGATGATGTTCTTAATGCCATCCCACAATTCCTCTGGTTTTCAGTCACTGGTGTTCAATGCATCAAATCTATTCTTTAGATGGTCTCTAAATTCAGGAGGGATATAATCAAGGTCATAGTTTGGCTCTCATATACTTCTTTTAATTGTCTCCAACTTCAGCTTCAACTTGAAATTGATCAGCTGATTGTCTGTTCCATAATCAACTCCTGACCTTCTTTTGGCTAAAGATATTGAGCTTCTCTATCACCTCTTGCCACAGATGTAGTCAATCCTGTGTACTTCATCTGATGAAGTCCACGTGTATAGCTGCCATTTGTGTTGTTGAAAAAAGGCATTTGCAATGAATAAATTGTTGGTCTTGCAAAATTCTGTCATGCAATCTCCTGCATTATTTCTATCTCCAAGGCCAAATTTTCCAACTACCGATGATTGTTTGTTTCCAATTTTTACATTCCAATCACCAGTGATAGTAAGCACATCTTGATTGCATGTTTGGTCAATTTCAGACTGCAGAAGTTGGTAAAAATCTTCAATCTCCTCCTCATCTTTGGTTTTGGTGGTTGGTGCGTAAATTTGAATAGCAGTATAGTAGTATTAACTGGCTTTCATTGTAGACATATGGATATTATTCTATCACTGACAGCATTGTACTTCAGTATAGATCTTGAAACATTCTTTGTGACAATGAATGCCACACCATTCCTCTTCAATTTGTCATTCCAGGAATAGCAGATCATATGGTTATCTGATTCAAAATGGCCAAAATAGGTCCATTTCAGCTCACTAATAATGTCTAGGACATCAATCTTTGAAGATCTTGCCTTATATTAAAAAGACATAGCCTTATAATTTCCAGATTGTTGGTTTGACTCATTAGGCTCATCGGCAGTTAAGATTTTTGAAAGGGCATAATGAGAGAAAGCTGAAAAGGTAGTGATTTAGGGCTAGAAGATGGCAAACTGTGAGGGCCAGCTAAAAAGGTTTGGGATAGAGGACCTACTAAAACTGTCTTTTGTTATATGTTGTCTGATCATGCTACCTCTGAAATTAATTTACAGGTCAGCATTTAAAAAAAATGAAAAAAAAAATTGAACAGAAAATTTAAGGGTATAATGCACATAATTAAAAGTAAGCATCATTCATGAAAATTTTATATCAGTTTGAACTATATACAAGTATGTATACTGGGTAGCAATGAAACTATATTAACCTTGTGAATAATCAATTTCCAATTAATAAAAGTCTAGGTTAATTATGATATGACAACTCAATAAATTATGTAGCCATTAAAAGGAATAAAAATAAAGACTATGTAGCAATATGGAAAATGCCCTGAAAAACAGTGTTAGGAGAAAAGAAGCAGAATATAAAATTGATTACAACAATGCAGAAACTCATACACACAGGAAGAGAAGGTCAAAATGGAGCATGAATAAAGAAAGTGGTTTGTTGGCATTGTGGGACTAGTATTTCTTCTATTTACTTAGAATCCTGTTAACGTAGCTACAATGTTGTTTGTGTAATAAACATTTTAAAAATAAAGAACAAAGCCAGGTGTTCAACAAGGATCAGTGTGGCACAGGAAGAAGCACTTCACTCAGTCCTAGTCTACTTGCCATCAACTGTTCCTCCTGAGCAATTCACTCTGCAACCCCTGGGCCTCATATGTTCTACCTGTTAAATGAGAATGCTAACCCAGAACCAAGCCTTTATATGAACTCTTACGCAGTTCTAATTTTCTATAATTCTGTTTGAAATTCTACTGGAAAAGAGAAGAGGAAAGGAAGCTCCTATAGTTCTTAGTTTTGCCATCAAATAGCAATCATGCTTTAATCTTTCCTGTTTCTTCAAATATCCCAATACATTAAATATATATCCCAATATATTAAAATACAAACCAACAGAAACTACGTTATGCACACAAACACCGCCTTAAAACTCTTCCTCCCATAAATAAAGTGATGTACTACAGGGATGTGCTTCTCAATAAAATATTGGTTAATAGCATACGCTATACACCAAAATTCAAAACGATGTCAATTTAGATTGTGGTGGGGGAGATGACAATGACAATTAGTCATTTGAGCTATTGATGGGCTATATGGAATATCTATTTTTCCCATAACAATACCAATTAACCACAACATAAAAGTACCAATTAACCACAATCATGTCAACAATTTGCTAAAATTCAGTGAACAGCATATATAATGAACAATTCTATCTTGTAGTATCAAAAAAAAAAAAAAAAAAGACTTATTACTTTCTAATTCACTTTCCAAATAATGGCTTAGCTTTTGCATCTTTTCATATCCAAGAGTTTGGCAACATCTTTAGGAATATATTCTTTATGCCAAAATCAGCTACATGAAATTATTTAGAGTTCCCAAGTAACGAATCATAATGCAATTTTACATCTTTAGAATGCTACCAATTAAATGAAATGCATAAATAAGGGTATTTTAATGCTTTCATTTGGATATAAAATAAACTATGCAGAAGCACAGAACACATTTATATAGAAACAATAGTATGTAACTACATTGAATTATATAAGCTATCTGAGAAACAAATGGCAATGTACATTCATTATCTATTTACCTAAAACATTTTAAAGAGGAAGAAGTGGCAGAAAGAATTTCTTCTTCTGGAGAAGGTGGAACAAAATCTATATCATAATCATCCTCATCAAGCTCGATACATGAAGATTTCTCAATTGAACGTAATTCTGGTTCTTCCAAACTTTTCTTCTTTTCACTCTTATCTAAAGTAAAACAGTTTATGGAACATAGGTTATTGTAATAACCAATGAGATAGAAAGAACAGAGAGTAAGCACTTAAGAGTACTTTGGGCAAGTCACAAATGATACTAAAACCAAACCAAACCCACTGCCATTGAGTTGATTCTCACTCATAATGATCCCCATTGGGTTTCCAAGGCAGTAAATCTTTACAGAAGTAGACTGCCCATCTTCCTTCCATGGAGCACCTGAACCACCAATCTTCTGGTTAGCTGTCAAATGCCTTAGGCACTGTTCCACCAGAGCTCCTTAAAAATGATACGACTATTACTCTGTATATGAGTCCTTTCCTTTCAAACAGTAATGTTGGCTTATTGCTTCATAAGTGATGACTGAGTCAACTGGATTAAATTCAATGACTGCTAGACTGAGATCAAAGATTTTCTTAAAGATTTTCATGATTGTCTCCTGTTACATTATGAAACTTCTATTTAGCATCACTATTTTCACTTTTCACTCATATTGGGATAAGGATTGTTGTTGTTGTTAGCTGCTGCCAAGTCATCCCCCAAGTCTTAGTGACTCCATGCACAACAGGATTGGACCATTGTCATCTATAGGATTTAAAGTGCAACAAATAAGTCTGATAATTGCACAAGCATTGCTGTGTGCACAGATATACTACCTCTACCACAAAGGCAATAATCGAAGAAGCTGGACTATTTGAAGAAGAATGTGGCATCAGGATCGGAAAAAGGCTCATTAACAACCTGCAATATGCAGACAACAAAACTTTGCTTGCTGAAGTGAGGATGACTTGGAGCACTTACTGATGAAGATGAAAAACTTCACTCTGCAGTATGAATTACATCTCAACATAAAGAAAACAAAAATCCTCACAACTGGACCAATAAGCAGCATCACAATAAACGGAGAAAAAATTGAAATTGTTAAAGATTTCATATTACTTGGTTCCACAATCAACACCAATGGAAGCAGCAGTCAAGACATCAGATGATGTATTGCACTGGGGAAATATTCTGCAAAGGACCTCTTTCAAGTGCTGAAGAGCAAAGATGTCTCCTGGAAGACTAAGGTGTGGCTAACCCAAGTCATGGTATTTTCAATCTCCTCATATGCATTATGAAAGCTGGACAATAAATAAGGTAGACCAAAGAAGAGTTTATGCTTTTGAGATGTGGTGTTGGTGAAGAATATTGAAAGTAGCATGAACTGCCAGAAGAACTAACAAATCCGTCCTGGAAGAAGTGCAGCCGGAATGCTCCTTAGAAGCGAGAATGGCCAGACTTCGTCTAACCTACTTGGTCATGTTGTCAGAAGGGACCATTCCCTGGAGAAGGACAACATGCTTGGTAAAGTGGAGGGGTCAGCTAAGAAGTAGAAGACCTTCAGTGAGATGGATTGACACAGTGGCTGCAACGATGGGCTCAGGTACAGCAAGGATTGTGAGGCTGGCACAGGACCGGGCAGTGTTTGGTTCTGTTGTACACAGAGTCGCTATGAGTTGGAGCCACTCGACAGCACCTAACAATGCCACTACCAAAAAGGTCTCCTAGCTATGTAAGTCTACCAGAGTCAGTGTGTCTCTCTCTCGGACTATGCTGGAAAACACAATACCAAATTATTGCTACCTGGTTGGTGCACGGTAATTGAAATGCTTAGCTGCTAACCAAAAAGGTGAGTGGTTTGAACCTACCAGCTGCTCCTTGGGAGAAAGATGATGTGTCTGTCTGCTTCCATAAAGATTATAGCTTTGGAGACCCTAAAGGGCAAATCTACTCTGTCCTATAGAGTTGTTGTTGTTGTTGTTGTTATATGCCATCGAGTCAGCCCCGACTTATAGCGACTCCTCCTTGGGTTTCCAAGGCAGTATCACTACGGAAATAGGATTGCCCAACCTTCCTTCCGAGGAGTGGCTGGTGGGTTTGAACCGCCAGCCTTCTGGTTAGCAGTCAAGTGCCTTCGGCACTATGCTACCAGAGCTCCTATAGAGTAACTGAGTTGAAACTGACTCAATGGCAATGAGTTTTGTCTGGTTTTGGGTTATACTTTTTTAGTAAATTTTCTCTTTAGAAACAGCAACACAATTTATTTAGACTAGTTTTGCTTCCACTCACTCAGTTTTCAGCTCTCTGTGACCCAGCAGTAACTCTGATGGGATTCAGGTATTTAAAAATTTAAATCTCATATTTATAAACTGTTTTATAAAGTGGGTTACTTACTTCCACATATGGCTGATCTCAGCTATTCAGAAAATAAATTGAAAGTAATTTATAACACTTTAATAGCATGATTAGGTTACATTATGCATCAATATTAGGGGCAGCAAGCCATAAAGTAACTCTAAAGAAAGGCATAGTTTTACTACTTCACAGTTCAACCATTAACCAGGTATAGAGCTTTAACAAATCATTTAAATACTTATGGGTCTTATTTTCTTCGTGTTTAAAAACCACCATAGAATAAAACCTTCCATTCTATCCTCCTGGCTCAAGAATGGGGTCAACAAACTGTTTACTAAGTACCTCTACAGATTCTAAGATCCTTAAGGACAAAAGCTACATCATATTCACTACTGTTCCCAATGCCGAGATTTCAATAAACAAATACAACCAACATACTGAAATGAAGATGAAATAATAACATTTACCTCTTTCACCTCCCAAATGTGTTTCTAAAGAGTGACTTCCCTGGGTCTCTTCATTTATAAGCCCTTTGGAAACGGAGTCATCATCGATGCAAATCACACTGCTGCTTAACCATTCTGAATCATCCTGCTGTTCCTTAGTCAAGTCCATTTGCTTGCTTTCAGCAGAGGAAGGAGTCAAGTCAGCCTTTACTAAACTTGCTTTATGAAGCTGTGACTGAAAACAGTTTCTCTTGGCCTTTCTTGATTTCTGAGCAGTGCTTACTCTTATGTTGTGAGTCTTCAGTGGTGTAACAAACACTTTCGAATTCCCAGAAATATCAAAGTCATCCATGCCATCCCAGTCATTGATGGTAATTAAAGAATCTGTTGAAGAACTGAATTCTAATTTCTTGAAAGCAACATCATGAGATTCCTTTATAGTCAGTGTGTTTGGGGTAGTACATAAAACTTCCTGTGGAGTCTGCAACAGATCTGGTGGCCATGGTTTCGAACCACCTCTCGTGGTTTGCTGTCCTGCTGGAGCATTTTTAAAGAAGTCATAGAGCCTCGTCTGCTGACTCAAGGTATGGGGTAAAGGCTCACGGAAGGAAAAGGCCTCAGCAGCGTTAACAGCTTTGTCACTTAACACAGGTGTTCCAGGTGCTTTTCCTACTGACACACTGGTTACAGATACAGTGCTATCAGAAGATGTTTTCTTTTTAAAAGTGAAACCTCTAAAAAAAATTGAAAAAATGGAATTAGATTATTTTAACAAACCCATTAATTCTATAAAACTGTAATTAAACGTGCAAAGAAGCCATCTCTCTGATTTTGAAAACATATAAGGTAACTTAAATGAATAAAATAATACTGTGTATGTTTTGATCCTTCCTGTGCAAAAACAACAATAACAACATGAAAAGGCTAATTATTCAGTTTGAGAGTATCCAGGTCGTTTCTACTATTTTCTCAGGTTGGTAAAAAAAAGAAATGTTGATTCCAATTCATGGAGACCTCAAGTGTGTCAGCGTAGAACTATGCTCCATATGGTTTTCAATGGCTGATTTTTTAAAAGTAGACTGCCAGGCCTTTCTTCCTCTGGGTGTGCTTGAACATATAACTTTTCAATTAGGAGCCAAGTGCTTTCATCATTTACAGGGATTCCCTTTCAGATTGGTAGTACTTAATTAACACCTCCTCCACAGGAAGGGGGCAGCAGAAGTGAAAAAGAGAAGCCATCCAAATGGGACTACATGTTGCTACTCCAATAAAAGTTTTATGGGGGGAAAAATGATAAAAACTGCTAGCTAAGCTAAGATCTGAAAGACAAGTCAGAGAAGAAAGAGTCCTGGATATCTGCTGAGTTTAGTGACATAAAGATCAATGGTGACTTAGAGTCAAGCACCCAGAACAGTGCCTGGAACCTGGTAAGTGCACAATAAATAATATAAATTATTATTAGATATCATGAGAAGAGGTTTTAAGATAGCTTGGAGAGGGCAGAACTGGAGAGCTATAGTTCCCTTATAAAATGTTTTTGGAAAGGATATAAAATTATATTAAAAATACACACTTGCCCAAATTTACAGTATTCACTATTCACTCATTCCTTCAAAACATATTCACCGAGCAATGATTATGTGCCAAGCACTGTGCAAAGGAGCTGAACAATTTATTACCTGGAACTGCTAAAAATATGCTTTGCCATTAATTTGCAAAGTAGGAAAATAATTTAATTTTATTTAAATAATTTAATTTATCTGTATAATGAAGGGGTTAAACCAGATATCTTATTTGTATGATACAGTGTATTAGTGCCTGTATGATAGCAAGCCAACCAAATTACTTACGAAGATTTTGGTTTTGAAAGACTTAATTTATTATTAAGTTTTTTGGCTGAATGGCGCTCCAGTTGCTCCTGTAGATTATTTTGAGGAAGAGTATCCATGATCCTAAAAAGTGAGGAAAAAAATATCAGTGGAATTGTGTACTTTGCATTAATCACAATATTTACCAGGGTAGAGAGACTTGATTCAAACAGACATTGTCCCAATTGTGCCCAGCATACCAAATGACATTTTTATATCAATAGTGTACTGTGAATTTACATCTAGTGACATTTGAAATATATAACTGTTGGCTAATGCTCACCTGAATAACAAAATGACCAGGTTCCCCCTCAAAGTTAAAATGAGCACAAAAGATGTTACAGAAGGAGTCAGTGTGAAATGGATCATTAGGAAAGGGTTTGCAGAAAAACGGGACCTGGTCTGGGCTTGAAGAATAACTGAAAGCTGGAGCTGGACAGGGAGTTAAGTTGGGGGAAAATGGCCAAAGAAGAAATGAACTTATTCCAAATTTTCTGCACAAGGGCACAATTGGGTAAACAAGGAACGGCACCTCCAATGTGAACAATGGTTTACCAGCAAGATACTCTGCTTCCTAAAGAAGCATCTGGTTTCAACCTAAAAGAATGCTTTTACCAAGCATATTTCATATTGTATATATCATACAAAATGTGTATTGCTGAGCTACTGCCCAGGATGACGTACAGCTTGTTGTTGTTGTTATTATTAGGTGCCATCAAACTGTAACCCCATGTGACAGGTAGAACTGCCCCAGCAGTACTTTTTAAGAAACTGATAAGCTGCTTTCTAAGATTCATAAAATGCAAGGGATCCAGAAGAGTCAATCTTGAAAAAGAATAACAAGATAGGAGGGCTCATACTTCTCAATTTCAGAATTTATCACAAAGCTACAGAAATCATGACAGTGTGGTACTGGTATAAGGATAGACATGTAAGAGTAATGAAATTGAATTCTCAAGTTCACATTTATAATCAATTGATTTTTGTCAAGGGTGTCAAAACAATCCAAATTGAAAAAAGCCTTTTTAACAAATGGTGCTTAGACAACTGAATATGTAAAAAAATTAGGTTAGATGCTTACCTCATACCATACATAAAGATTAACTCAAAATGATTAAAGACTTAAATATAACAGTTAAAACCATAAAACCCTTCCAAACCAAAAACCAAACTCACTGCCATCGAGTTGGTTCTGACTCATAGTAACCCCTCCTTGGGTTTCCGAGGTGGTATCTCTATAGAAGTAGATTGCCCAGTCTTCCTTCCGAGGAGTGGCTGGTGGGTTTGAACCACCAGCCTTCTGGTTAGCAGTCAAAGGCCTTAGGCACTGTGCCACCAGAGTTCATAAAACCCTTAGAAAAAGGTAAATCTTCAACACTTTGGACTAGGCAATGATTTCATAGATGTGACACCAAAAGCATAAGCAACAAAAACAGACATACAAGACTATCAAGATTAGAAACTCTAGTGCTTCAAAGAACACGATGAGGAAAGTGTAAAGACAACTGACACAATGGGAGATAAGTTTTACAAATCACACATATGATAAAGGACTTTAGAAAACACATAATTCTTACTACTAGTAGTAAAAGACAAATTCTGTAATAAAAAAAAAAATGGGCAAAGGATCTGAATAGACATTTCTGCAAAGATGACATGCAAATGCCCAATAAAAAACTAAACCCAACCCACTGCCACAAAGTGGGTTGTTAAAAAGACTTTTTTCAATTTGGATTGTTTTGACACCCTTGACAAAAATCAATTGATTATAAATGTGAACTTGAGAATTCAATGTGATTTTCAACTCACAGCAATGCTACAGGACAGAGTAGAACTGCCCTATAGGGTTTTCAAGGCTGTAAATTTTTCTCCTGCAGAGTAGCTGGTAGGTTTAAACAACTGACCTTTTGGTTAGCAGACAAATATTTTAACCACTGCACCACCAGAGCTCTTCAAATGGCCAATGAAACTATGCTTAAAACCACGATGAGATACCACTTCACAGCCACTAGGATGACTATAATAAAAAAGATGGATGATAACAACTGAAGAAATTAGAGTTATCATACATAGTTGGTGAAAACGTAAATGATGCAGTCACTTTGGAAAACAGTCTGGAAGTTTCCCACACATTAAGCACAGAGTTAGCATAAGATCCATCAATTCTACCAGTAGATACATACCCAAGAGAAAGGAAAAGCCATGTCCACACAAAAACACATGCACAAATGTACACAGCAGCATTATTCATATAGGCAAAAAGTGGAAACAACTCAAATGTCTATCAACTCATGAATAAATGAAATATGGAATATCCGTACAATGGGTAAAAAGGAACAAAACCATAAAAAGGAACAAAACACTGATACATGCTACCATGTGGATGACCTTGATACTGTTATGTTAAGTGGAAGAAGCCAGTCACAAAAGACCATATATTATATAATTCCATTATATGAAATATTCACAATAGGCAAATCTATATAGACAGTAGAGTAGTGGTTGCCTCAGGCTAGAAGAGAGATGGGGGAAGTGATGATGTATAAAGGGTATAGGTTATAGGATACCACCTTGGAAACCCAAGGAGGGGTCACTATGAGTTGGATTTGACTTGACAGCAGTGAGTTTGGTTTTTTTTCTGGTTTATGCTAAAGGGTACAGGTATAGGGTTTTTTGCTGGAATGATGAAAATATGCTGAAGTTGGCTGTGGTCACTGAGGATTGCAGAACCCTATAAATATACTAAAAATCACTTAAATATAAACTTTAAATGGGTGAATTGTATGGTATGTGAATTATATCCAATCAAGCTGTTACCAAAAAAAAAAAAAAAAGTAAACAGAAGGGTATGATGAACCTTACAGATCTATCACCCAGATTCAACAATCATCAACTCACCCAATCTTGTTTCATCTATATATACACTCATTATTTTGAAGTCAATCCCAAAAATCATTATTCATCTGTTAAAAAAATATACTCTTTAAACACACACATACACCTCAATGGTACTGCCAAAGGGGCAAGGAGGCCACATCTTCTGACCTCCTCTAACTGCGCAAGAGCAAGACAGAATCACCATCAGTAGCCCAAGGCCTATCCCTGTAAGGCCAGACAGGCTGCCTCCCTCCAGCCCTTTCACCAACCTTGACACCAACTGTTCCTCTCGCAGCACCCACCACCTCTCTGCTGGGTTCAATAATTTGCTGCAGTGGCCATACAGAGTCACAGACTATGGGGTTTATTAGGGAAGCACCAGGCTACAATTCAAGTTCAGGAAAAACACTCAGTCTCTCTCAGCCTGCTGTCTCTCAGCCAACAGTCTCTCTCAGTCTCTCTCCCAGCAGTGCATGTCTCTTGGTGTCTCTCTCTCAGCAATGCATGTCTTGGTGTCTTTCTCATCAGCGTACGTCTCTCAGGAGTGCGTTTCTCTCAGCAGCATGTCTTTCTCAGCCAGCAGTCAGAGAGACTTCTGCCTCTAGAAAGGCTCCTCTTTGAGCCTGGCAGAGTGACCAAACTAACTAATTTCAACATCAGAATTCTAAGCACCTGAGAGAGATTGAATTTCCCAGAACACTGCTTTGTGCCACTCACAACAGAAATACCCCAGGTGGATAACTTTAACAATCAGGAGCTCCTCAGTTACTCATAGAAAATTCCACCATAGAGTTTACAAAGACTTATGGCTAGAAAAACCACACTAAGTAATTTACCACACCACAGGTATTATCATTTAATTAACTCTTTATTATCAAGTATCTAGTGTTCAAATTTCAAGGATCTCATTATTGTCATATTCATATATATTTCACACACACACACACATATTTACTATTTAAGACTCAAACACTGCAATTGGTTGGTATGTCTCAAGTCTTTTTTAAATGACTTTTTTCCTTTCAATTTATTGAAGAAATCAGAGATTTTGTTGTATTAAATCATTTTGCTGACTATTTCTATGGTCATGTTGACATGTTCCTTTATCTTCTTTTAGTTCTAGTAAATGGTTAGTTCACTCTAAACCAGTGGTTCTTAACTGGGGATGATCACCCCCACCCCCATCCCTCCGCAGCCAAGGCATTTAACAAAGTCTGAAAACATTTTTGGCTGTGACAACAAGGGTGTGTGTGTGCTATTGGTATCTGGTGCAAAAAGACCAGAGATCCTGCTAAACATCCCACAATGCACAGAACATTTCTCATAACAAAGATTATCCAGCCCAAAATGTCAATTAGTGCCAAAGTTAAGAAATACTGATGAAGGCTAAGGTTCAAATTTTTGGCCACACTTCTCCATAGGTGGTGGTGTGTTCTTCAACAGGAGGTGATAATGGAAGAATATCTCTCTTTCTGTAATGTTAGCCAACATTAATGATCAAGACCTAGATTCAAAATTTCATTAGGGCTGCAAAATTTGGGGGGGGGGGCAAACAAGAAAAAAACAGCTTTTTCAGCTACATTGCACATACCATAAAATACACCCACCTAAAGTGTACAGGCCAGTGGTTTGTCATATATTCAGAAAGTATAACCATAACCACAATCTAATTTTAGAACATTTTAACACCCAAAAAAAGAACCCTGTACACATTAGCAGTCATTCCCCATTCCTACTCATCTCCCTCCCATTGAGATTTAGGCACACTAGTCTACTTTCTGATTCTATGGATTTTCCTACTCTGAACATTTTACATAGAATCACACAGTGTGTTCTTTTGTGACTGGCTTCTTTGATGTAGCATTCTATTTTCAAGATTCATTCATGTTGTAGCATTTATAAGTATTTCATTCTTATTTACTGCCAAATAATGTTTCATTGTATGAATATACCATATTTTGTTTATCCATTCACCAGCTAATGAACAATTGGATTGTATCTACTTTTCGGCTGCTAGGAGCAACACTCCTTGAACATCTGTGTACAAAGTTCATGTGAGAACCTATGTTTTCATTTCTTTTGAATATGTATCTGGTACTGGAATTGCTGGATTATATGGTAACTTTACATTTAGCATTTTAAAGAACTGTTAGGCTTTTTCCTAAAGGGGCTGCACCATTTTACATTCCCACCAACAATGTGTAAGG